AAATTAATGAGCTGACAACGGAGCACAGACACACAAAGGACCTGCCAGTTCAAGGACGGGTAAGGCGTGGTGGTCAGAGCAAGAGGGAGGTCAGGCGGAACGGGGGTAACAAGGACAGAATCGCAGCAATAACACCTCAAGCTCCAGAAGGCTCACCACTGCCAGAAGGTCCCAGGTTGGGGCCAAAGGTCCAAGGAAGGAATCTCAGGAGAAGCAGGTAGACGGTTGAGTCCCTTCTCCAAGAAGGTGCTGGGTAAACTTAAGGAAGGAAAGGAATGGGAGGCCAATTGTACAGGTTACCAACATGAATGAACAGGGTAATATGGAAGATGGAAGCTGGCAGAATGACAGCTCATCTCTAACATGATGCAATGGTTTGAGTCACATGACTACATTCAAGTACCACTCAGTGGCAGTGTTTGATCAGGGATCGAACTCAAGCCCTCGGCACTGAGAGCTCAGGAGTCCTAACCACTGGACAGCCAGAGAATTCCGGCATTCCTTTTTATGATAAAGTTCCAAGGTCCATAGAGGAGGGGAATCGTGTAAACATGAAGTCCAAGCTTTTACCATCGCACTGGACAAAATCTCTATCTTTATAAACAAAATTTGGAATCAGAGGAGGATGAAATTCTACAGTCGATTTCTAACCGGCTCAAGGATGGAATTCAAAGACTGCTGATTAGTGAGTGAATCTGTGCTAAAATAAAGGGAAGTTGCTAAAAGCACTCCACAGGCATCTATCCTCCATCCTGGCTAGTTTAACTATTTTAATCAGTGGCTTTAATGAAGCCAATAGCTAGCATATTTAGAAAGTCACAAATGTGATACAGATGGAAGTCAGAGTGAACAAGGTTGGTGATAGAATCAAGACCCAGAAAGACTTCAGAAGGTTGAGGAGATAAGATATTTCATAGGAATATATGTCAGATCCTATATCAAGATAAAAAAAGCTAACCGCAAAAGGAACAAGAACAAGGGAGAATGAAAATGGGTTTATGACAAAATGCATGAAACTAAATTGGAAGTCAGTCAACTATGGCTGCCGGTGGGGGCGGCAGGGGGAATGATAGGGAAAGGGGATAGTTAGGGAGTTTGGGATGGACATGGATAACCAACAAGGACCTACTGTATAACACAAGGAACTCTCTGCTCAATGCTATGTGGCAGCCTGGATGGGAGGGAAATTTGGGGAGAATGGATACATGTGTATGTATGACTGAGTCCCTTCACCGTTGACCTGAACTATCACAACATTGCTAACTGGCTATACTCCAATATAAAAAAAGTTTTTAAAAAAAAAAGTCAGTTAAGACCATAAGCTTATTAACCTAAATTAACAGTGTCATAGAACAGCAAGAAGAGCTAATGAGATGACTCCTTTAAGAACCCTAGTATCCAGACAAGGAATGCAGACCCCAACTCTAAGTTCCATTGGACTGACCAAGCTCAGAGCTCTGTGTTCAGATCTAGATGTCATCCTTAAAGACAAACGGACAAATGTTTGAAGACTTCAAAAACTAACAAATGAGACAGATACTAAGGACTCAGTCTAGAGCAAAGAACGTATACTGACAGCTGGAAGGCTAGATCCATGAGGCAGATGGCTTTACTTCACTCTGAATAGGATTTTTAAACTATGAGAAAATTTCACCAAAAACGCAAATTTGGGAGAAAAAAATTTCTCTTGGAAAAAAACATTATTTAGCAAGAACTGATGAAAGAGGTATAGTCAAAGCTCCCTTCAGTAGCAACTAGTCGCCTATCGTCTGAATCTAGCCCCCAGTCTATTTTAAATGAGCCTACAAGCATCTGAATTGTAACTGCTGCTTTAGAGAAAAAGAGGTGAGAGGTAAATACAAAAGCTGTGTTCTAGGACCTAAAAGGTTATGCCTGGGCTAGTGATATACTGAGGGACTCTATTGAAGAAATAAGGCCAAAGGCATATGAGGTATAGAGAGATTCAACATAAAAAACAACTTTCTAACAAAAAGGGAAGAACCTGCCTAAGTATGTGGCCCTTCCTCACTGAAAAAGAACCAGCAGAAGTTACCCCTGACCAGGGCCTCAAAGGAAACTGATTCAATGGATAAAGAACTAGAAGAGACAAACCAAAATGTCCCTTCCAAGTCTGGGTTTCTCTGATGTTTTAATTTTAGGAGCTTTATTATCATCAGTATCATCAACCACGGAGAGCACCCTGACTGGGCCCTGCATGTTTTTCATGTAAGAAAAGCACTGGCTTTCATAGTAAGATTGCAGGATTTACTGTTTCCATGTCAACTAAACACAGTGTCTACTGCTGAATAATTATCTGATCCTCTTGGGCACTTCAATTTACCATAAATGTAAGAGAACCTTATCATTTCACCCATGTTGAGAGATGGGGGCTATTCCTGCCTTGAGGTCATTCCAAGTTATAGTGAAGGGAATCACAAGGAGGCATCATGGTATAAGAGACAGAAAACCTGAATAAGACAGACATGTGTGTGGGAAATCTGGTTAACTTTTTTAGACCTCAAATTTATTTATCTACAAAATGGGTATAAAACTTAGCCATATCTGCTTTAGATTATTGTATGTATCAAATTAAATAATGCATATAAAGGTGCTCTGACAACTATACAGTGCTGTAGAAATGCAAGGACTTTCCAATACAAACACAGACCTGTTATGTTTTGCTTTTTGTTCTGCCTGAAATGCATGTTACCTCTTTGGGATAAGGATCTGGACCAATCTACCTATTTCCCAGTGAACCATCAATCTACTTAGTTATCTACCTCTCTAAATATCAAATGCTGGGAAAGATTGAAGGCAGGGAGAGAAGGGGACGACAGAGGACAAGATGGTTGGATGGCATCGCTAACTTAATGGACATGAGTTTGAGCAGGCTCTGGGAGATGGTGAAGGACAGGGAAGCCTGGCACGCTACAGTCCATGGGGTGACAGAGTCAGACACAACTGAGCGACTGAACAACAAATATCAAATCTCACTCTTCCAAAACGTCTCAGCCTCATATGTCCAGAATTCTAAACGTATTAATTTAAGAAAGGGGAATGAGGTCATCACTTGAGTCATCAACCTTTATCCAGTAAGACCAGAAGATCAATTTCCTGCCAAAGCAATGTTTTAAATTTGAAGTTCTGCATACTGACTCACTAGGAGATACTTATTTTTTTCTACATAAGGCATCTCATTCATCACTTAGAAAGAAGCTACAACAATCCATACACCAGTTGGCTGAAGTATCCATTTTTACAGATGACTGTCAACAAGAGCACCATGAACGGACTCCAGGTCTGGAGTAAACAGATATGATCCATAATTATAAATGTAAAATGACATTCAAGAAAAATATGTAGGTACACTGAGAAGTTCCAACCAGATAGGTGAGAGTTAATCTCTGCAAGGGAATCTTAAGTCTTAACCTGTGCTACTTCCGAGCTATGAAAGCTTACTAGTACCCTGACTCTGATTACTTACCAAAGCTTACTTATGCTCTAGACCATGCCTACTCAGTTTTAACAGATGCATGAAATAGTTTAAAATCCTTATGCAAATAGAAGTTTTCAAATTATATAAAGAGTCACAAACTAGAGTTATATAAATGAAATTCCTTTATAATTACATTTTAAGAAAGAAAATTGCAGGGATTTAGGCATTAGAATTCCTTGTTGTTTAAAATGTAATTAATTGCAAGGAGAAAAGACAGCCCTCAGATTAGGAGAAAATAATAGCAAATGAAGCAACAGACAAAGGATTAATCTCAAAAATATACAAGCAACTCCTCCAGCTCAACTCCAGAAAACTAAATGACCCAATCAAAAAATGGGCCAAAGAACTGAACAGACATTTCTCCAAGGAAGACATACAGATGGCTAACAAACACATGAAAAGATGCTCAACATCACTCATTATCAGAGAAATGCAAATCAAAACCACAATGAGGTACCATTACACACCAGTCAGGATGGCTGCTATCCAAAAGTCTACAAGCAATAAATGCTGGAGAGGGTGTGGAGAAAAGGGAACCCTCTTACACTGTTGGTGGGAATGCAAATTAGTACAGCCACTATGGAAAACAGTGTGGAGATTTCTTAAAAAGCTGGAAATAGAACTGCCATATGACCCAGCAATCCCACTTCTGGGCATACACACCGAGGAAACCAGATCTGAAAGAGACACGTGCACCCCAATGTTCATCGCAGCACTGTTTATAATAGCCAGGACATGGAAGCAACCTAGATGCCCATCAGCAGACGAATGGATGAGGAAGCTGTGGTACATATACACCATGGAATATTACTCAGCCATTAAAAAGAAGTCATTTGAATCAGTTCTAATGAGATGGATGAAACTGGAGCCCATTATACAGAGCGAAGTAAGCCAGAAAGATAAAGACCATTACAGTATACTAACACATATATATGGAATTTAGAAAGATGGTTAACGATAACCCTATATGCAAAACAGAAAAAGAGACTCCGATGTATAGAACAGACTTGTGGACTTTGGGAGAAGGCGAGGGTGGGATGTTTCAAGAGAACAGCATCGAAACACGTATATTATCTAGGGTGAAACAGATCACCAGCCCAGGTTGGGTGCATGAGACAAGTGCTCGGGCCTGGTGCACTGGGAAGACCCAGAGGGATCGGGTGGAGAGGGAGGTGGGAGGGGGGACCGGGATGGGGAATACATGTAAATCCATGGCTAATTCATTTCAATGTATGACAAAACCCACTGCAATGATGTAAAGTAATTAGCCTCCAACAAAAAAAATAATAATAATAAAATAAAATAAAATGTAATTAATTTCCAGTACAATAAATTAAAGAGGTACCTATTACTTTTAATGGGTAATAATAAATTTATGTATATATATTTGTTTAAGGGGTGATATAACTGTCACTGTAAGATTTTTTAACAAACATCTACAGAAAATGAGATAAAGTATTATCAACTGAAAAACAAATACACACAATGACAAGAATATACTTACCTGTAATACAAATTTCTGATCTATGTATTTTTTGGCAATGCTGGGTTGGAATTCTTGGCTTTCCAAAAACCGTATGAAAAACTCATATACAAGCTGTAAGAAACAGATTATTGTTAATCTCAAACTATAATTCACTGAGAACAGTATTAAAAACCATAAAAAGCTCTAATACTAAAACTGACGAGAGGTTTAGTGTGTTTTAAGTATCAATCAACTAGCAGTGCTAGCCTTTCTTGAAGCTCACAGTTGCTGTTATGATTTTTAGCTTTTTAAATTTATAATCTGAAAACACAACCTAAGAAAGCAAATAAAAACCTCCCCAAATCTCATCATTCAGAGTTAACCACTGTTAACATTTTAATGTATAAAACTCCTGATTTTTTCTATACCTCTACAACATACCAATGTATTATAAATATATGTATAGGTATATATATATATACACACACATATATATATAAAATATAGTTTTCAAACTATTTTTACCATCTAAACAATATAGTCAATTTGTGCCAACAATATCTATGCTACCATTCTTAGTAGCCAGAAGCATAGTCCACTATAGATAATTTATAATGAATAATTCCATTATTTGTAATTACTTTAATCAATATCTTCTGCTTAGACATGTAAATAGTTCTTAAATTACTACTCAATTAAATTACACCACAATGTACCTTATATAACATACATCAGTGTGCACTTGATCAATTATTTCATGAGAAAATATTTCTAAAGGGAAATTGGTAGATCAAAAGATATCCAAACATGTCAGGATTATCAACATTCATTACCAATTTCCTTTCAGAAAGTTTATGGAAATTTACGCTCCTCTAGCAACAACAACAATATGTAAGAGTGTGTCAGGATGTTCTCATCTGCAAAGAGTAAGAATATTCTCATCCACAGAGTCAACCTCAAATAACTTCTGAGAAAACAGTGGGGGATCACTGTTTACATGCTTTGCAAAATAAACCTATGTTAAAGCATACATTAAATACTGGTGTAGCACATATACAACAGTATATTAAAACCAGAACTTTCAAGAGACAGATACTGGGTTGAAAACCTAGCTCTACCCCTTACTGTGTAACCCTAGTCTGTTGTTTCAACTGTGCAATGCAAATGATAATCCCTAAGATTAAATGTAATAATATACACATAAAGCCCCTACACAGTGGCTAACATATATCACTACTGTCATTACTGCCTAAAACAGGATTCTCAAACTTTTTAGTCTCACCCCTTCATAATGAAAAATTACTGAAGACTCCAAACGCTTTTGTTTACATGAGATATAGAAGTAGAAATAAACACAAAACCTTTAATATATTTTTATTTATTTTATAAATATATAATTGCAAAATTATATTTATTTTAATATATTTATTATTCAGAACAATAAAACATATCACATGCTAACATAACTAATATATTTTTGTGAAAAACAACTTTATTTTTCAAAAAAGTTACTAAGAAAAGGAATATTGCTTTTTGCTTTTATACATCTCTTTAATGTCATATTAGAAGACAGATTCTTATCTGCTCTATCTTCAAGCTGTTACACTGTTACATTAAATACCAGTCATCTATCTTGCACTTTGGATGATATTTACCCATGCATGGTTACTTAACATCATTCATTGGTCAACTGGAAAATACTGGTTCACTGAGTTACTGCAAATGTTGGCACATTTTATTACACAGTATCAATAAAAGTCACATTCCTTAATATCTCCAATTTTTTTTTAAGTCTTTAAGCTTTGGGGAGCTATAAAGCTCAAGGTGACAGATAAAGGACAGATACAAATTTTCCAAAATTCTAATTCTAAATTTTGCTTGAATGCTCTAATTTTATCAGTGGGAAAACAACTGTTTTCTTTGTTTCACAGAAAACATTTACTAAGTACCCAAGTCAGAATAACCATAGTTTGTCAGGTATTCTTTCAGGTAAAAATGATACTTTATGAATAGTTACTTTAATATGCAGCTCAGACAATCACACAAATGCTTTATTTAGCACAAGACAAAGATTCAGCAGGCTTTATGCATACTTTCCATTTCACCATGAAGAATGTTATTTTTAATATGTACTCAAAGGTCCAGATTAAATAAAATCAATAATTTTTGCTGCTCTTCAAGGACATTCTTAATTGAAATTGGATTTTTTTAAATTTAAGTGCATGGCAGTAGAGAAGGCAACTACTAACTCAGTTTGACATTTGATTTTTGTTAATAAGGAAACAGCAATTTCAACCACCATCGCTTTTACAAATATTAGGGCAAATGCCAACACAGTAAAAAGAGAGGATAAAGCAGTATTGTTATAAAACTAATTCTGACTTTGCAGGCCACTGAAAATCTGATCTCAGGATCCCCCTAATGGTCTGCAGATAGCACTAACCTAAATGAGATCTTGTGACTTTAGACTCTAATGTAACACTTACATTAGGTGTCCACATTAGCATTTAAATTTTCCATAAAATTCTGTTTTGCTCTCTGAAACTCTAGATTCAGAAAAACTTCTTCCCTGTGATCTGAACAATGCCAAGTTGTACTTCTAGTCATAATAACACCCAAGTTCAAACGTGCCCTAGAAGAATTTTTCTTTTCTTCAATATACTAATCTTTCAACTTATAGTTTTACCAATAGTTTTACATCAGCATTATTCAAATAACTCATGAAAGAGGGTTTCAACTCTCTTTTGACTCCCACAAAATGGAGAGATTTCCATCTTCCAGGCCCGACTTGTGGGCTGGCAGGGCTTTCTGGTGGGATTGGCAAAGCATCTTCTCCCTTCTTGAAAGCGGCTATGGTTTAAAAAAGTTTGGTGGAAATACTTCAGACACATTTATTAATAAGCATAAATGCTCTCTTTTTTACCAATTTTACCTCAGAATCAAAAATCTCCCTTGAGTTTCTAAAGGAAAAGACTAGGAACTGGGGAGAATAAATTACTTTTCAAGGTCACATAAGTGAATTCTCCAAGGAACATAAGTAAGAAGACTTAAGCATTCCAGATTTTCAGTCTAAAGTGTAAAATATTACAAATAACCCCTTAATTGTAAATGGAAGTCCTACAAAATCATATTCTACTAGAAATATAGAACAAATTTCAGAAAATATGCAAAGAATAACCGTGGTAACCATGGGATGAAAGTTTAACAGATACCACTAACAGAAAAGATCAAACAAAACACATAGAGCAGATTTAACATTTTTTCTTATTTTTAAATATCCTCAAATATTCATAATTTGTTATGAGTAATACTGTATGAGCCTAAATTAAAATCAAAGTGTGCAGGAGCAGACAATTAGTGAAAGCAATGAACGCAGCCAAGCACCCAACAACCAGTGTGATTTCTTCTATTGTCAGAGATTTGGTAATAAACACTTGTGTTTCCTGTGTTTTGCTTCCTTGGTGGCTCAATGTGTGAGACCTGGGTTTGATCCCTGGGTCGGGATGATCCTCTGGAGAAGGAAACAGCAACCCACTCCAGTACTCTTGTCTGGAAAATTCCATGGACAGGGGAGCCTGGTAGGCAATAGTCCATGGGATCACAAAGAGTCAAGACACAACTGAGCAACTTCACTGTTTCCTTGTAAAATGTGGTCCAGAAGCAGCAACACACTGTAAATGCTGGAGTTACAAAAGAGTGAAAAGGTTGAAGAACATGCAGTTTCGGTTAGGAAAAATCAATTGTCTGATCAATCATAAAGTAAGATGTTGAATAGTAGTGATGGCTCGCTGCAACAAGAGAGACCTATCACGGACAGAAAGGGAGATTTCTGAAACATCCATCGAGGGTCTTTCAGTGCTAAAACCACCCATCAGTAAAAATGGAACAGTGAGTGATTCATGGAGTCAGAATGCACAAAGAAAACAGAATTCATGAGACAAGTCAGGAACCAGTACAAAGACATACAGAAAGCCAAAGAGAGTGAAGGCCAGAGTGCCTACTGACTTGACCTTTGCTATGAATGAAGGTTGCTTTGTGAATTTTAAGAGGTTTCTTTTTTTTTTAATTTTATTGGGGTATAATTTGTTTACAAAGTTGTATTAGTTTGAGGTGTACAGCAAAATGATACAGACACACATATATATATATTCTCTCTTCTGATGTAGGTTTCTTTTGTGTGTTTGTGTGTGCTCAGTTGTGTCTGACTCTCTACGGTCCTTTGGATTACAGCCCATCAGCCTCCTCTGTCCCTGTGATTTCCCAGGCAAGAATACTGGAGGGGGTTGCCATTTCCTCCTCCATGGGATCTTCCCAATCCAGGCATTGAACCCAAGTCTCCAGCATTAACAGGCAGATTCTTTACGACTGAGCCTTCGCGGAACCTGATCTAGTCTAAGTCATGTTTTCCCCTGAGCTAAAGAAGGGCTGAGAGGACTACAGGCTGAAACACATGTCAACAGAGATGAAACCAGCGTGTTCTGGAAGACAGTTTGTTACTTTAGATCTCCAAAGGCACAGATCTCAGCATCACTCTTCACTGTTGCTTTGGTTTTAAGAGTTTCAAATGAACTAATGGTTAATGTTTCTGTACTGATGACACGGTGTAAGCCTGACATCTGTGGTGGTGGAATTCAGCTTAAGCTTTAGAAATTAATTTAGTCCCATGTTTTATAGAGTCATTAAGCTTACGAAGGATTAACTGAAATACTGAATTAAACTTTATCATACTTTAGGGGAAATTTATATCTATGGCGATCATAATTTAGAGTATTCAAAAGCTCTTGCAAATAGTAAGAATGGTCTACTGTCTCTTCTTCAGAATGTAGACCAGACAACAAGTTGAAGCCCTGAAGGCATTTCCCTCCTCGTCTTTTCTACTACACAATGTGGGACTTTTCTGAGAAAATTATCTTTTTGTTTGCTTTGTTTTTTAAATTTCTTCCAGACAATACTGCACTTCTGTGACCTGATGCCAAGCATGAAGAATAAGACATGACAAAAAATCCCCAAGAGTTATTGCTTTTGGTTTTTTTTTTTTTTTTGGTCACAATCTGGGATCCACCATGAAAAGCACAAATCAGTCTCCCAAATTTCTTAAGACTGCAGAAAGTATGTCTGGCACCTTGAGGAAAAAAAAAAAAATCAAGCATCTAAGATAGTAAATCGACTATAGGGTTTTAACTAATTTACTCCACGTGGCAATCATAGCAGGTATATATATGTATGACATGCCTAGGTGAGAGCTGAGAAAACAGCCCTGAAAGCTCTCCATATAACTAGGTGAAAGAGCATTACATATACATCTGCGGCAACCTTGAGCTGCCAAAGCAGGACAGGGAAAGTTGCAAATGTATGTCAAAAATTCTGAAGCAGGGAAAAAAATAAACCCTTAGAATTCTCTAGGCCTACTCTCCCTGCTACAGTTTTCTGCCCTTCAGAAAAGTCAACTAGTAACCATAAGCACACTGCTACAAAGATGCAGTGGCTTCTGCCTCCCGTAAAATGTACAAGGTCATATTCCTTCTCCATCATTCCCTCCCTCCTTACTAGCTGTTACCCAGCCTTGGAGAACAACCTAACTGAATGGAAAAACTGGCCTTAAGGTTCACTGTACTCACAGTTCCTTGTTCTATTCATTTGAGAAAGTCTGGTCTTGAAAGAAGGCAGCCAAGAAAGGAGGATGATGAAGGGCTGGTGTGGATAACTCAACACAGTACAAATGGGCCTAATGCTGGGAAAGGAGATACAGGGATGGTCCTAATCTGTCCTGGCACATGAGGGTAATTGGAAAACATGGCCTTCTCAGTGCAACAGAGCAAAACTGGCCTTCACACAAGCTTTTTCTCAGCTACTGCTCCTCCTTATGACACTGTGAAACAGCTACTGCAATTTGTTTTTGTCCTTCCAGGCTAAAGAAACACATTCGTGGTTATCACAAAGACAGGCATTCAAAGTCCCCAGGGTACCTAACTGCTGAAAATGAGGTATGTACTCTGTGACCTAATCACATCTAACTAATATTAACGTGAAATAGTTCTGTTCTTGTTTGAGGCTCCAGCGGGAAGATCACAGAAATGCTAAAAAAAACTGCTGGCCGAGTGTGCAACCCGGGAGGGGCCACCCTAAAGCATTATAATACTTATTATTTTGTTCTTCTGGCATCCAATTATCAAGAGTAAGAAACATAAAAAGTATCCTTCAGCTTTCCAGTAATGTACTCTTAATCTGATTTCTTGGTGAATAAAGGCCGTCAAGGAATTCCCATGCTAATCAGCTCATGGATTAATGGATCTTTCTTTTAGAACAAATGTTAGCTCAAAGTACCTGTAAGTGTGGCCATGATGCCTCAAGGGTAGGTTCATCTTCTTCTGGATCAAATTCATTGCTGTCACTAGGAGGGAGAGTTCTGAATATATTGCAAGATACCTAAAAATAAACAAGCAGCAGAGTTAGCTGGAATGGAATCACCTCCTCGGCAGCCTTACACAAGGTCTTTGCGGCCAGCCAAAGGGAACCCAGATGACAAGAACACCACCAAACTGGGAGGAGACCCAGCTTTGAGGCCAGGACCAGCTCCAAGAAAAGCTGGGAAATAGAGCAGTACCTTCCACCCTCTTGAACAGTATTCCTAGTGCTTACAATGCCATCTCCACCCCAGGTCCCTGCGATTTTATGCCTTCCATCAAAGCTTATGCTTCATTACTTACCCGTCAAGCAAGCTTCTCATTAATCAATTTCCACTAAAATATAAATAACTGCTAATGGGCTTCATGTATTTCCCTTCTCAGGCTTATTCACAATTTGCGGGTTTCCAGTCACACTAACGATAAATTTCAGGCATTTACAAAAAGCAAATCAGAAAAACTATTTCAGAACCTAGAGTCCTTACAATCATATCTAATCTGCTCTCAGCTGGTTTGTACAACAGTGAAAATGACCAGGGTAAGATACATCTGTGTAATGTCGCTGCTACTATTTTGCAGTGACCTTCCCAGGGTTCCTTCCAATTTCTATTCTGTTCCTTGTTCTATTACTTATCTATCCTCCCCTAATGACTCAGATGCATCCTCAGATTTAAAAAATAAAACAGGGGTGGGGAGGGAATTCACTGATGGTCCAACAGTTTGGACTCTGAGCTTTCACTACAGAGCACAAGGGTACAATAGCTGTTTGGGGAACTAAGATCTTGGAGCCTTAGGGCCAACAAACAAATGCAAAAGAAACAAGGAAGGGATGGGTAGATATTGTACCAGAAGCCTTTGCTGAACCTTCTATATAGTAGAGAAAATACTAGGCTATAATATGTTGTTCTGAAAGAGGGAAAAGGAAAGGCTCATATAATCTGAATGTGTTTACTCATTCAACAAATAATTGCTAAGCGCTCATTACGTACACACACTGTTCTGGGCACTGGGACAATAGCAGTGAATGAAGTAGATAAAAATCTGTGCCCTCCGGGAGTTTATATTCTAGTTTAAAGTCACAATTATTCCTATTTTCTAGATATGGTAACTGAACTCAGATGTGTAACCTACGGAAAGACTTGATTTTACTCTAAGTGCAATGGGAAGCCATTAGTGGATCTTAAACAGAAAAAGGATACAGTTCAATTTTTACTTTTAAAACAATCCCTCTGGCAGCTATGTATAGGACAGACAGGAAGGGGACAGGTTAAAAGACTATGAAAGTGGCAAGACATGATGATGGCTAGCAGAGAAGACAGAAATAGACTGATTCAAATATATTCTGGAGGTAGTATTTGCTGCTGGCTTGGAAGTATGAGGTGAACGAAAGGAAAGACTCGAGAATGAGTCATAGATGCAAGGTCATTTAGTCAAGATGAAAATGACTGCGAAAGGGAAACGTTTCCTTTGTTTGCTGGCTTTAGTGGGGACGTCCAGAGATCCAGTTAGAAATATGTTAAAAGAGCAATATCCAGGAGCCAACCAGACACATGAACCTGTAATCTCAGAGGTAGACAGGTCAGCACTGGAGAGCTATACAGACTCATCAGCATGTAGAGATATTTGAAACCACGGGACTAAGGGATCTTCTTGAAAGGAAAAAATTGGAAGAAGGGAAAGGACCCGCAGATATCCATCATTTAGAAACCAGACATGGGTGTAGGGGGAGACAAGAAAGACAAAAGGAAAGGAGTAGGAAGTAGGAGAAAAAACAGGTTTGAGGACCTTAAGAGCTAGGAGAAAAGAGTGTCTTAAGGGAAAAAAGATGACCAAGCAGCAAATGCTGCTTGAGAAGGACCAAGATCCTCCTCCAGAGCAGAATCTACTAGATTCAGAAGCCCTATAAAGCGAGTACTATCATTACCCTCAATTTACCATTTAGGAAACAGAAGCACAGGTGTTGAGAGCTGAAGTTAACATTAGTAACCAGCAGTTATGACTGAACCCAAGCTGTCAGGCTCCACTCCAGTGTTCTAGAAAAGTGGGTAGACTAATTCTTTTGCTCCTCTTTAACTTAGATGACTGAAAAATAAAATTATCATGCTAGAATATTTGTGCAGTGACTAATTATAGCTTATACAGCACACACAGTTATTTTACTTTTGTCCCTTCTAATGATTATTAGAAATTATGTTTACAAAGAAACCAGTGACTTTTCAGATAATAATAAATGACTTCTCTTCAACCAGCCAGTCACACTGTGTAATCAAAAGAGCAAAAATCTTTTAATTACTTGCTTTTGAATCTTCATTCAACTATGCGTCTATTGTAGAAACTGAGTTTTCATCTCAACTACATCATTTATATTTACTGTACTCTGTAACAAGTTTTATTTTCCTCCCCACAAGATGCAAAACACAGAAGGAAGAACAATTATATTCCAATAAAAATTAATTTATAAAAAGAAAGAGAAAAGAGAGAAAGGAAACACATCTTCTATAGTAAAAAAAAATCTGGGTAAAAAGACAGAAATTTCTGTTCCTCTGTATTCTTTGACATTCAAACTCTTTTATGGTGGGGAAATATTGGGCTGCAGCAAATATTTGTTTACATATTTGTCTCTTCCCACTAATTAGGAATATGCAATGTCATATTCACATTTGTTTTCTTGGCACATATGAGTCTTCCAATAAATGTTCACAAAAAGGTTTGGATATATAATACAAGTGTGTGTGTTTGCTTTAGCCAAATTTCAATTTAAATTTTTGAGTGACTTAAATAAGCGTAGGTTATTTAACCTAAGATGTTCAGCTCTGCACAGCTTTTGGTCAAAGCTTCATCTCTCAATTATTGTCACATCAAAAGAATGCTGAATTGTGTAAGCAATCCAAAGAGCAAAGAGTTCTAAAGGCATGTACATCTCACTTAGCCACACACTGCCACGTCTTCAGATCTGCCTTCCTTACAATGCTTTATTGAGTATACTCCTAAACATTCACCGTGAGTAATGAGGAAGCAAGGATCTACTGGGCTGGACAATTAATAGCCAACTCAACTAATTAAGTAGTTCTCTAGAACAAATGGAAAGAATGTCAAAGCAAATCAAGTCAGCCTTTCACTCTGCCTGGCACATCATAGTTGCTTAATAAAAATGTCATGAATGAATGAACCATTGTTCCCATCCTTGAGAATCCATCCTAAGAAATTAATCTAAGACAAGACTGATAAAACTATTTAAAGCAATCATTTGCAACATTCTCCAAAGAGTGTAAAATTGGAAATAACCTTTAAGTCCAACATTAGAGAAGCACATCGATTCAGTAGGACACTGTACAGGATTAAAGATAATCACTATACTGAAACACAAAGAGATGTCAGAAATAAAGATTTAGAGGGAAAGATGATGTGACTATAATGAAAGTGAAAGTCGCTCAGTCATGTCCGACTCTTTGCAACCCCATGGACTATACAGTCCATGGAATTCTCCAGGCCAGAATACTGGAGTGGGTAGCCTTTCCCTTCTCCAGAGGATCTTCCCAACCTAGGGATGGAACCCAAGTCTCCTGCATTGCAGGAGAATTCTTTACCTGCTGAGCCACAGGGAAGCCCCAAAATACTGGAATGGGTAGCCTATCTCTTCTCCAGCGGATCCTCCTGACCTAGGAATTGAACCAGGGTCTCCTGCACTGCAGGCAGATTCTTTACCAACTGAGCTATAATGGCGTCAGCTGTAACGACACAGATAAGAGCAGATACGGATAACTCAGGTGGCACTAATGGTAAAGAATCTGCCTGCCAATGCAGGAGGCACAACAGATATAGGTTCCATCCCTGGACCAGGAAGACTGCCTGGAGGAGGAAATGGCAACCCACTCCAGTATTCTTGCCTGGAGAATCTCGTGGACAGAGGAGCCTGGCAGGCCATAGTCCATGGGGTCACAAAAAGTCAGAAACAACTGATCACACAGCACAAAAACAAAAAGGAAATTAAGAAAAGCTGTATTAAAGCAAGAGGAATATGGATGAAATTCAGTAGCTGCTGTTCATCCTTTTGAGATACAGCAAGTAAGTTCTAAATCCATAAAAAGCCTAAGTTAGAGACATGCAGTATGTGCATTATGCCTTTAATTTCAAGATAAAAACAAGCTCTTGAATTTGTTTGCAAAAGATTATGATTGTCAGGAGAGTTAAAAATCAGAGCCTCTTACAATGTCTAGGGTCTACCTCATGAATGAATGGTTGAAGGACTGAATGAATGGACCAGCTGAACTATACAGCTCAGCTGCAAAATCATGAGTTTAAAATTGGGTCATCCTTGGATTAAAAGCGTGAGGGAGACAGTTCTCTAAATTCCCGAAGTCTTAGCCAGCACTATGTATGTGTGAGTCCAACCTGGGAAAAGACCCAGTTGCCTTCATCAGATTCCTGAAAGACTTTCAGACTCTAAAATGGTTAAAAACCACTGTCCAAAATAATAAATATGCTTCCATTAAATCTTTCTTTATCATGGCAGTCACTTCTGATTTACAGCCAGGTTTTAAAAAGATTTTTAAGTAGGTAACAATTAAATAGGTAACTCATAGAAGCTTTGCCAACAAAGATCCGTCTAGTCAAGGCTATGGTTTTTCCAGTAGTCATGTATGGATGTGAGAGTTGGACTATAAAGAAAGCTAAGCGATGAAGAATTGACACTTTTGAACTGTGGTGTTGGAGAAGACTCTTGTGAGTCCCTTGGACTGCAAGGAGACCCAACCAGTCCATCCTAAAGGATCAGTCCTGGGTGTTCATTGGAAGGACTGATGTTGAAGCTGAAACTCCAATACTTTGGCCACCTGATGCGAAGAGCTGACTCACTTGAAAAGACCCTGATGCTCAGAAAGATTGAGGGCAGGAGGAGAAGGGGACAACAGAGGATGAGATGGTTGGATGGCATCACTGACTCAATGGACATGAGTTTGAGTAAACTCAAAGAGTTGGTGATGGACAGGGAGGCCTGGCGTGCTTCAGTTCATGGGGTCACAA